GCGGCGCTCGAGGGCTGCCAACAGCCGCGCGCGTTCCCTGAAGGCTGCGTCGTCCGCCAGCGCCAGGCTCCGCCGCGACAGCGGAGTGGTGGGATCCGCCCAGGCCCGGCCGGAGGAGGAAAGGCTGCGGGGAGAAAGAGAGTCGAGGTTACCCGGAGTCCAAGCCCCCGCCCCCTCTGCCAGTCCTCCCCGCTGTCTAACTGGAAGCCTTGTTACTGCGCCGTCGGTGCAGTGGCTCGATCTCTCTCCTCTCTTTTTCTGCGTGGGTGTGGGTCTCTTTCTCTGCCTCTCTAGTGAGGTTCGAAGCTCCCTGAGCGTGGAGATCGAATCTGAAGCACTCGTCCGTCCCCAGCGCGCAGCGCACGGCCTGGCACACACCAGGATCTACATCTGCTCAAAGAATAAGTCTTTCTGCGCCGACTCCTTTCAAGTCTCTCCACGTCTTTCTCAGAATCTATCTGTGCATATCTTTCTCTTGCTGAGTCTCTGTCCACTACCATCACCAACAACACACCCCTTCTTCCCTCATCCCGTTGCTGTCGCCCTCTCTTTGGGTTTCAGTCCCCCCTTTCTTGGTCTCTGTTCCTTTTTCTCTTTGGTTCTCTTCCCACCTCTCAGAGTCCACGCCCCTCTCCGGCAGTCCGGGCCAGGTACCTACCTGAAGACCCTGGCGGGGGGCAGGGCGACTCCTGAGGCAGTGCGGGTGCCCCAGGGCACAAGCAGTAGGAACAGCAGCAGCAGCCGCACTCGGGGGCTCCTGGACTCTTGGCGGGTCTCCATCACCTGTGGAGAGATAGAAAGGAAAGGAATCAGTGGGCCCCCCTCCAATCCCTGCACAGAATCCCAGGCCCCACCATTTACCACCACCCGCCTCCTACAGGGCCCCCTACCATGCAGTGGGCTGGGGCAGTGATGCTGGCAGCCCCCTTATATGGCTTTCACAGCCCCCGCTGCAGGCAATGACGCAGGCTAGGGGACGGGGTGGGGGCGCAGGGTCAGCCCCCCCCAGGCTCATTAAGAGCTGCTAGCGGTAATGAGGAGCTGGAGGTGGGGGCCCTGCTGCTGCATTGGCCACCACCAACTAATTGGGACCAGAAGCTGGGACCTGAGAAGAGGGAGGGGGAGAGACAGACAGACAGAGAGGTGGACACAGAGGGTGTGTCAGAGAGATAAAAATAGAGTCTGACCAGGGGACCATTAGAGCAGAAGACAGAGACATGGAGAGACAGGAAGAGAGATAGGGAAAGCAACAGACAGGAGGGGCTGTTGAGGAGAAACAGAAACACAAAGAGAAGAAATAACAGCAGAGGGAAGGACAAAGACAGTGACCGAGGAGGAGAGAAAGCAAGAAAGGGAGCAACAGGGGGAGAAAGAAAGGAAAAGGAAGGAAGCAAGAAAAGAGAGGGAAAGAGACTAACAGAGCCAGGTCTAGATGGAAGGATGAGGAAAAGAGACTCTCAGAAAGACAGGAGATGAAAAGACCAGTGGCCTAGACAGAGAAGCCCAGAGATAAACCTAGGAGGGAGAGCATCAAATAGACAGAGAGAGAGATGGGGGGAGAGAAAAGGCATGAAGACAGGCAAAATCAAAATCTCAGAAAAGGAGTGAAGAGAAAGGTTGGTGTGATGGCTCACACCTATAATCCCAGCCCTCTGGGAGGCCAAGACTGAAGGACCCCTTGAGGTCAGGAGTTTAAGACCAGCCTGAGCAAGAGTGAGACTCCTGTCTCTACTAAAAATAGGAAAAATTTAGGCTTGGTGCCTGTAGCTCAAGCGGCTAAGGCATCAGCCACATGGCAGGTTCGAATCCAACCAGGGCCTGCCAAACAACAATGACAGCTACAACTGAAAAATGGCCAGGTGCTGTAGCAGATAGCTGGGGCAGTAGCTGGGACTACATGCTACTTGGCAGGTGGAGGCAGGAGAATAGCTTGAGCCCAGGAGTTGGAGGTTGCTGTGAGTTGTATTGCCATGGCACTCTACCCAGGGGGACGCTTGGGTTAAAAAAAAAAGAAAGAAAAGCAAAGAAAAAATTTAGTTGCACATTGTGGCAGGTACCTGTAGTCCCAGCTACTCAGGAGCCTGAGATAGGAAGATCTCTTGAATCCAGTAGTTTGGCCTTGGTGCCCATGGATCAGTAGTTAAGGATGCCAGCCACATGCACCTTAGGTGGTGGATTCAAACCTGGCCTGGGCCTGCTAAACAATAATAACAGCTGCAACAAAAAATAGCCAGGCATTATGGTAGGCACCTGTAGTCCCAACTACTTGGGAGGTTGAGGCAAGAGAATCACTTAAGCCCAAGAGTTGGAGGTTGCTGTGAGCTGTGATGCCACAGCAGTCTACCGAAGGCGACATAGTGAGACTCTGTTTCAAAGAAGAATCCAGGAGTTGAGTTTGTTGTGAACTAGACTGAGGCCACTGCACACTAACTAGGGTGAGAGTAAGACCCTGTCTCAAAGGGGGGGAAGGGAGGCCAGGGCCGGGTGAAAAAGTGATTCACACCTGTAATCCTAGCACTCTGGGAGGCCTAGAGGGGTGGATTGTTTGAGCTCTTGACTTTGAAACCAGCCTGAGCAAAAGTGAGACCCCATCTCTAAAACATAGCCAAGCATTGTGGTGGGCACCTGTAGTCCCAGCTACTTGGGAGGCTGAAACAAAAGGATGCTTGAACCCAGGAGTTTGAGGTTTCAATGAGGTACGATGCCACAGTACTCTACCCAGGGCAACAAAGTAAGACTCTGTCTCCAAAAAAAAAATTTTTTTTAATTTAATTTAAAACAATTTTTGAGACAGAGTCTCACTTTGTTGCCCTTAATAGGGTGCTGTGACATCATAGCTCATAGCAACCTCAAACTCCTGGGGATCAAGTGATTCTCTTGCCTCAGCCTCCTGAGTAACTGGGACTACAGGTGCCCACCACAACACTTGGATATTTTTAGAAACAGGGTCTCACTCTTGCTCAGACTAGTATTGAACCCGTGAGCTCAGGCAGTCCACCCACCTCAGCCTCCCAGAGTGCTAAGATTACAGGAGTGAGCCACCACACCCAGCCAAAACAAAAAATTTTTTAAAAAGAGGAGAAAGGCAGAGACACTGAACTACCCCTGGGAGGAGTTTGCGGGTATTGTGAAGAGAAAGTCCAATCCCCCCACGATGGCTGTTAGGAGGGGGCCCTCCATACACATCAGGGAGTTGGATAAAGATTGGAAGTCCTGAAGGGCAGCAGCAACCTGGGACAAGGAAACCTGGGCTCCTAGTTTCCCAGAGAAAAGGGGCTGGAGCTGGGCTCCTAGGTCTAAGAGTGGATGGGACAGGGACCCAGACTCCTGGGTTCCAGGGGAGGAGAGGACTGAGACCTGGACTCCTGGATCTGAAGGGAGAGACTGAGGAAACTCAACTTCAGGGGTTTCAAATAGTAAAGTATATTAGGGAACTAAACTCTTGGGTTTGGGAGTAGGAGGGAACAGAGGGTCAGAAGCCCTGGTTTCAAAGGGAAGATAGTTTGATTGGGCCACATCACACCACCAGATCATCCAGTCCCTTACTACCTTCCTCATCCCAGAGACAATGTCCTTTACCTCTGTTCCTTTAAGAGCCTAAGCCTGTTGCTAGGCTCCCAGGATCCCTTAGGAAAGGGTCAGGTGCGTCACCTGGGTGCCCCTGAGACCCTACCTCCCACTGCCCCACCTAGAGCCACTCTGCAGCATTCGAAGGTCTCTGTATCCAGCTCTGCTCACCTGCTGTTATCTTGGACACCACTGAGCAGGTAAGAGACCCCAGGAGCCCAAGTGAGCCTGTCCCATACAGGTGTGTGCCACCTACATGATCAGCTGACCACAGACCCAAGTTTGTCTGCCCAGACTAGTTTCTAAGATGCTGGAATGTTTGTTTTGTTTTTTTAAGACAGAGTCCCAATTTGTTGCCCTCAGTAGAGTGGGGTAGTGTCATAGCTCACAGCAACCTCAAAATTCTTGGGCTCAAGAGATCTTCTTGCTTCAGTCTCCCAAGTAGCTGCGACTACAGGCACCCACTACAATGCCCAGCTATTTTTATAAACAGGGGTCTTGCTCTTGCTCAGGCTAGTCTTGAAATCCTGAACTCAAGCAATCCACCCACTTGGCCTCCCAGAGTGCTAGGATTACAGGCGTGAGCCACCATGTCCTGCCAGATGCTTGAATCTTTGCTCCATCCTAGATAAACAGAGAGGCCTGAGAGTCTGGCCCCATAGCACTCTCTTTCACCCCACCTTATGCTGAGGAGTCCAGACTCCTATATCTGGAGGACTCAGGATTCAGGGCTCCCAATTTCCTTCTAACTCAGAACCCAAGAGCTCAAGGCCCCTATTTCCTTTCTCTCTTATAATCCAGCCAAACCTTGCTCCCTCATAATTCTAGGCATCTGAACTTCCAAGCTTCTCCTCTCCAAAGAACTATAAATTTAGACTCTCTTTCAGCACCCTCATCGTGCGAAGCCCCCAGCAACTTTCTCCCCAGAGCCCAACTTTCTCCCTGCTCTCTCACATCCTGGAGTCCAGCCCTAGCCATTCCTTCCCAACCTCCTCTAGTGTAAACAACTGTTGAGTCAAGGTGTCCCAAGGGGCCTGGGAAAGGAAAGCGATGTCATGACTCCTTGGAGGTCTGACACCCTCCAAAGTCAAAGTCGAAAGGGTCTGGGAGCCTGGAGAGGTGTCATTCTTTCCCATTTTTTCTAGGACCCCTGAGTGTAACAGATAAACAATTAACTATGACTCCCAAGAAGCCCCGTACCAATCTGCCTTAGCTACCGCAGCTATAGTCCCACAGCCTCCCGGGAGTTGCAATTGGGTTTTCCTTCCTTCCCTGGCGCCAAAATGGGCCCCAAGGCAATACACCTGCCGGCTAGTGGGCGTGGCCTCAGGTAGAGTGGGAGAGGCCTCAGGGTGGGAGGGGTCTTTGGAGATCCTTCAGCCTTAACCCCTTCCTTCCCGCTCTCCCCGCAGCTATAGTCATATCCCAGAGCTATGAAATCGTTCAGCCTGATCCTACTCATCTTCCTCCTCGCTGGGCTGGGTTCCAAGGCTGCCCCGTCCGCCTCTTCGCCTTTAGGCACTGACTTTCCAGGGATGAAACATCCTTCTAAGACTTCCTCTCCTGCTTCTGAAAATTCCACTAGAGATCGGCCTAACTCAGAATTCCCGGGGACTCTTTATCCTGAACCCTCTCAGACACCTCACATAGTTTTCCCGGAGGCCTCCATCCCCCTTAACTTCACCGAGACCCCCATCCCAGACCTCCTAGAAACCTCACTCTCAGTGTCTCCTAAGACCCCTAAGGCTGACTCACTCCCAATCTCAATATCAGAATCACTGGACAGCCCCAAAATTAACTCCTCTCAAATGACACACACAGAGCCTACTAAGACCCACAAACTTGACAGGACTGAAAATCTACACCCAGCATCCTCTGAGATCCCCCAAACTGATGCCTCCAAAACTTCATGCCTGGAATTTCCTGAGGCCCAAAACACTTACCCTATGCAAACCGCACACCAAGAACCCCCAGAGATTCCCAGACTTAATGCCACTGAAATCTCACACGCAGGAACTACCAAGACCCCAAATCCTGACCCCACCAAGACCTTTGACCCTAAATCTCCAGAAACACATAATCCTGACACCACTCAGAGCCCCAACTCTGAATTTTCCCAGACCCTGTATCCTGACACTACTGAAACTCCCCACCCGGAATCCCCTGTGACCCACAACCTCAACCCCACTGAAATTTCTCAAACCAAATTCCCCACAACCCAATTCCAAGATGCAACAGATATCCTCATTACCTCTGACCCTGAAATCGCCACTAGTCTTTATCCAGAAACACCTGCACCCTTAGGGAATAAAGGTATTGCCCTAATTCAGCTGCCCTTAAGACCCAAACTAGAAACACTTGCAGTCACCCACCCTGACTCCCCTAAATTGCCCACCTCAGATTCACCAGAGGCCATTGAACTGAAAGCTCCCCAGAACTCTGGCCCTAAGGGGCCCGACTCTTCTCATCCCTCAGCCCGGATTGCAGGCCCCCTTGCTCTTCTAGGGCCCCCAAATCAGCTGGCCCCTGCCACTCTGCAGGCACCCCAGCGGCGCAGTGGAAGTGAGAGAGTCAACACTATCATCGTGGTAGAACGAGTGAAGGAGACCGGTGAGGGGCGGGGAGCTGGACTCCTGGATCTAAGGGAGGTGGTGGGGCCTAGGGATGGGTTCGTGAGTCTGGGAGAGGGGAAGCCTGGGAGCTCAGATGGCTAGTCTCCTCCTGCAGGCGTGACTCTGGTGGGGCGCCCACGCGGCTCAGCAGGCGGGGCCCTTTGCCTGTTCTTTGCGGGGATTGGGCTGCTGCTTGGCATCTTCCTGCTGCTGTGGTGTCTCTACCGTCGGGCAGCTCAACACCGACCTTTCGCACACCACCGGCTACCGAACGACGGAGATGAGCCTGGTGAGTGCCCTGCCCCTTGAGCACCAGCACTTTTCCCTAACTTGGTCTCACCCGGCATTATAGGGAGCCCCGTTTTTTCAAAAGGTACAAATTCCCTGTCCAAGGTCAATGAAAGTCTTGACCCCTTTATGGCCACGTCATGGCCCCTAATTGCCTAATTGTCTGGAATTTCACACACACACACACACACACACACACACACACACACGTCTAGCTCTTTCCCTAACGCATTTGGGAAGGGGTCAAGCCCAGAGCCACCCGTCTCTACAAGCCCTGCCCATTCCTCCCTCCGGTGGGAGGGAGAGGCTGTATGTCTCGACCCTTCATTGTAGATCCTGCCCCTTCTGCGTGGATACCTCTCCTCTCTGTTTATTCAGTGGCCCTCACTCTTGCTTTGAAAACCCAGTTTAAATGTGTGGTCAGGCAGGCCTCCTATCAGCTTGCAGATGATCTCGCCTCTTTGCTCCCACAGTTATGCATTTAGATACCCCAAAGGACCCCTACGACCTCTACTTTTATGCTCCGGATGCCTGGATCCCTTCTCACATTGCCACCAAGCAACCACTGCCCACACCCCCGCTGCCACCCAAGCTGCCCCCACCGCCCCGCGGAAGTCGCCCTCAGAGCCTGGAGGCATTGTCTCCTGCCACGCTCCCCAACAATTTTGTATGAGCCATAGCTGAGTCCTGCCAGACCTGCAAATCCCCCCAAAAGAGGGAGGACCCAAAGGTCTTGTCCTCCTGGCATGCTTTGCTACATAGTGGTCCTCTGAGATAAAGAGTCCAACACAGAGATGCTTTTGCTGTGGTCTGAGAACACGGTCTGAGGTGGAATAAATCACGTGTTTCCAAGACTACATATCTCTCTGACCTGAGTCCTTGGGCAGGAGGGGCTGGAGTCTCAAACCGCTGGAAATGAAGGAGAAGGGGGTTAGGGAATGATTCTTTTGGCTCCAAAAGAGGAAGGAGCTTGGATCTGGGACTCCCCAGTGTGAGGAAGGAGGGGGCTAGGGACCAGGGCTCCTGTGACCCCCCACAGCCAATGACAGCTAAGTCTGTACACCAAAGCATTTTATTGGGAGTGGGGCAAGGCAGGATTAATAGTCACAGAGACACAAAGACACAACCCTGCCCCTGGAAAAACACCCCTCTCCCCCAGCCCCATCCCTTTCCTGGGATTTTGTGACTTCTCTTATGTGTGTTCCCCAAATTCTAGGCTGAAAGAGGGGTGCTTGAGAGGTGAAAGACCCCAGATCTTGAGTCATTTAGCCCCTGAGGGACACAACAAATGGCCACTGAGAAACTGAGGGTAGTCTGAAACTACCCAGGAGAATAAAGTGCAAGGAACTGGCAGAAGGGGGGCATCTTGAAACCACCATGGGGAAGTTCAATGGTGATGGCTTCAAACTATTGGACTTGAGCAGCCACTATTTAGACCTGAAAAATCACATAAGAAAAAGTGCACAGGAGTGAAGAGAGGCATATTGTTAAAATTGCCATATAGGGTTTTTTCATAGACATTATGCTAAACTAGAGAGAAGGTTCTAAACAATTTGGTGTTTCAGCAGAATCTGCTGGTAGGGGGAGGCATGAAGTGAAAGGAGAGATGGGGGGAACTTGAAACCGCCATTTTTCCTCAGAAACGCTGGTGAGAATCAACCCCTAGAATGATGGGGATGGGTGATTTGTTAAACCAACCTGGGAAATGCAGAATAGAGTTGAAAGAGATTTAAAACTTCTAAGAGAGGACCTTGAATTTTTCTGAAAGGAGGGGGGAGCTGGGATTAGCCTGAGAGCCCTGGGGTTAAAGGGAAGGGGAGAGATGCCTCAAAACCACAAGAGAGAGTAAGAGGTTCCACTGTCCATTAAAATAAAGCCCTGAAGGGAGATATTTGAAACCGCTGAGGCAAAATGGGTAGAGAAGGGAAACTTTAGGGGAATTTGGGTATCCTTGAAACTGCCAATCTGCAGCTCCACTACCCCTGAGAGGCAGTTGGGAAGGAAAGAGGATTTAACAGCACTGGGAACAAGGGAGAGTGCTTCTTAGGCCCTAGACAGGACAGAGAGCAGTAGGATCCCTTGACACTGTCACTCAGGCCCAAGATGTGTGAAGTAGAGGTCCTGGAAACTGCCATTCAGTGGGAGGCACATGGTCAGTAGTCTCGGACAGGGGGTGGGGGTCTTGGGGGTTGAACTGTGCTGTGTGTGGCCCCATAGGAGGGAGGGGGTGCAGGGGGTGCCCCTGGTGGTTCAACATCATCTTCCATTTCACTGTCATCACTGCCAGCCAGCTGGTCATGGCCAACAAAGCCACACTTCTCTTCACTCATCTCCTCAGGCTCTGCCCACGGCTGCTTCTCTCCAGAAGCAAAGACCCCATAGAAGATAACACCACCATAGTGCACCAGGGAGGCGATTAAGAACACATACTGCCATTCCTCCCGAGTCTGTGGAGGAACAACAGGGATGAGGTCAAAGGGAGGACAGAGAAAATGACTGGAGAGAACATGTAGGGGGAAGAAGGCCCAGAGGAAGGGAGGTAGAGATTCATAGGGAGGTAGAGATCCAGAAAGGGCAAGGGCAGTGTCCCAGTGAGGTGACACAGCATGGTCAGAAAGGTACCATGCATACATTTGCAGGGCGAGTGAGTCAGAGCTGGTACACCCACCTTGTGCTTAGTCATGGCACCCACGATGATGGGGCAAACCATGCCCGACAATGTCCCCACACCATTGGAGATGCCCATGAGGATGCTGGCATAGCGAGGGGCAATATCCAGGTGGTTCACATTGAACCCTGGTAGAAAGACAAGTCAGAAGTGTCACACCTGCATCTCACACCAGTGATTCACACTGGAATGTTCCAGAGTGCCCACCATTTTCCAGCTGGGAGGCCCCATTTCCGAGCCAGGAAGTTCCTACAAAGCTGACCAGAGTCCCCCAAGCTGCAGATCCACGGTTCTCACCAGAAATTGCAAAGCCGCTGAAGCCTACAGCTAGGACCAGGAAGGAAATGGCCACACCTTTGGAATGAGAATAGCCGACCACCAGCAGTAGCGTGGCTTCCATCCCAAAGCCTATAAGAAAGCGGTGTTTCCTAAGTGTTGACAGAGACTGGGCACAAACTGCCCCATACTGCCTTTACAGTCTAAATCATGCCCCAGTCTACCTGTTTGCACCCCAGTCTGGCCACCTCTAAGCCAGGGCCCCATCATATCTAACCAGTGTCTCCCAGGCCCAGCCCCTGACCATGCCCTCTGGCTACATGGAGCCTAAAGGGCCTTGCTTCCTGACTAGGCCATGTCACGCTTCCACATATCGTCACCTTTCCTCACTGTCCCCACTCTTTAGTCAAAGCTCATCCCGGTCCCCCGACTCATAGGCCCTCTTCATCACCTACTTCACGTTCTACCACACCCAGCTTCCTGCAGGCCCAGCCCTCCCACGTCCAACTTGGTCTCGCCTCTGCTCCACCTGAATAGTCATTACACGCCATGGCCCTTTAGACTTCTCTTCCATCCAGGCTCTCTCTCCTACCAGCATCTTCCTGTTGGCCTCGCCCCTTGACGTCATCTATGACCACGCCCCACGCCAGCTCTGCCCGGCCAGGTCCTGCCCCACTTACCGCCACAGTTCATCAACTTGCGCACGTTGGTGGTGGACATGATGCGGCGGCTCCGCAGGAAGTCGGCGATCTGGCCCCCAATGGGCACGATGATGGTCATCACCAAGTGTGGCAGTGCTGACACCAGGCCCACCTGCAGAAACAGAAGCACAAGGGATGGGGAAGTCAGGGCTGCTGGCTCCTCGCCTCTGCTCTTTCCAGTCTCTGAATCCAGGCCTTGCTCCCTCCACTCCCTCGTCCATGCTTCCTGCCTTCTCCTCTTGAGCCCTACCTTGCTGATTTCAAAACCAAACACTTCTTCGAAGTAGGCGGGTTGGGAGATAAGCAGCAAGTAGAACGTCCAACTACGGCAGAAGTTGGCCACGATGATGGCGTAGACTGGCATGGACGTGAAGAAGCGCCGCCAAGGTGTGCTAAACTTCTGTGAGGGGCGAGGGAAGGGGCTGCTAAGATGCAGGCAAAGGCTGGGGGCTTCTCCGTGTCCCTTTAGGAACCCCACTATAGTCACACAGAGAACAAGGGATTCCGACTCCTGGGACTCAGGGGCGCCACCCGTGGAAATCTAGGGATCTCAGCCTCACTGTGATACTTTCAGGATGAAGGAGTCCTGACGTTACAGTAGCCCTCAGATTCACGGGTGTCAGGACCCTATGATCACCCGTAGGGACCATAAGTGTGGGCCTAGGAGTCTCTTTCTATTCAATTACTGTGCCCAAATCTAGCCTCATCTACCCCAAGGTCTAAGCAAAACCTCCACATTCTAATCCTGCCTTCGCTGGTTTTAACCACGCCCACATCAGTCGTTCTAATCCCGCTCACCTCGCGACCTAGCTCCACCCTCCACACCTGCTAATACCGTCCATAGTGTGTTGTAACCTGACTCCTAGGTTCTAGTTCCACTCTCTGCATTTCAGTCCTGTCTCCTCTGGAACCCGCCGACCAGCCAACATCTACACGTTGCGCGGGTTTCAGCCTGGATATCCCTCCCGGCCCCACTCCCGCAGACTTGGGCCCGGACCGTAAGGGGGTTCATGAGTTTGGCGCTCTCGCCGATGGCTTCCTCGATGTACTTGCGCTCCTCCTCGGAGATGCTGGGGTGCAGCGCAGGGGATTCATAGGAGACGAGCAGCCAGAACAGGTACCAAAAGATCCCGAAACTGCCTGGAGGGATTCAGGAGGGGGAGGGGAGCAGGATGACAACTGGACCTGCTTCACCCCAGCGCCACCCCCAACCAGGTATTGGGTCCCTCACCATAGACGTAGAAAACAGAGCTCCATCCCGAATACTGCACCAGGACCCCGGCGAGGGGCATCGCAACCACCGCCCCAGCATAGGAACCTAAGGGAAGGATAAGGGATAGAAAACAGGCCCATCGTCCCTCAGATCCAGGAGTGCGGAGCCCCAGCCCCTTTTTCTGGGCTCTCAGACGCAGGAGTTTGGATTCCTAGCCCCTTCCTCTCACCACAAAAGGCTGTTGTCGCCAGGCGGCTACGTTCTAAGGGTGGGGCCCATTTGCTCCAGATCCCGTGGCAGGCGGGGTATGTGACCCCCTAGGGAGGAGAAAACCAAGGTCAACAAGATGAGGCTTGGTCTGAACAGGGTTAGGTTCACGTGGGGCGGGGCTTTACCTCTACCAACCCCTGCAGAATTCTCACGAAGATGACACAGCCATAGTGTACGCGGGCAGCCGAGGGGATAAGCATGTTAAGAGTGGAGGTAGCCACAATAGCAAAGCCGAAAACCCTAATGAGAAGATGGGAGTGACCAGCTATCCTGCTATGCCTACAATTCTTTTCTTCCCGCCCACAGGAACCTGGGTAGGCCCTGTGTTTCGGCCCCACCACCTCTGTGACAGTCACAAGCCCCACCTTCCTCTAAGACCCTGCCCCCAATTCAGGCTCCTCCCATTTCCCCAGAGTCCGCCCCCAAATTCAAGACCACACCCTCTGGTTCCTCCCATAAAACTGTAGTTTCCGCCCACCTTGAGACCCTATCTCTGTACCTGTTGGCTGCGAATTTTTGACAGATAAATCCTCCAGGAATCTGAG